AATGCTAAGAGTTAATTGCTAATTCTCTATTCACAGGATCTTCCTTGTATGAAAAGGATGGATTTGAGCAACTCCAAGTATCTTATGGAAACTCCAATGTTTGAAGGAATCCCAGGACTTGAGCGGCTAGATCTTACAGGATGTACAAACCTATGTCATGTCCATCCGTCAATTGGACTTCTGACAAAACTTGCTTTCTTGAGTTTGCGAAACTGTAGCAGTTTGATCGGCCTCCATTTTGACAATTTGTCTAATTTGAGTTCTCTGAGAGTTCTACGCCTCTCTGGTTGCACAAAACTTGAAAACATGCCAGATTTTACACAGGTCTCAAATCTACGATACCTTGATATTGATCGATGTACAAGTTTACACATGGTTCATAAATCTATTGGGGCTCTTTCACAGCTTAGCTTCTTGAGTTTGAGAGACTGCACAAGTCTTTTCAATATACCCAATAGCGTTAACACCATGACATCTCTTATAACTCTAGATTTATGTGGCTGCTTGAAACTTACAAAACTTCCCCTGGAACGGACTTTCAATTTGTCTTCTACTCTAGAATCTTTGATTCATCTGGATATAGGCTTTTGCAATCTACGTGAAGTACCTGATGCTATTGGGGAGTTGAGGTGTTTGGAAAGACTAATTATAGAGGGAAACAACTTTGTTTCAGTACCTTCTTCCACCACGAGGCTATATAGTCTAGCATATCTAAACTTGGCACATTGTTATGAGCTTCAATATTTACCCGAGATCCCATCAAAAAGTGCTTCATCGGTGGGAAGGTATTTTAAAACGGCAGCTGGATCTCGTGATCATATGTCAGGATTATATATTTTTGACTGCCCCAAGGTGGCGGATAGGTTGTCCAGGGATTTCGAGTGGATGACCCCACACTCGCATTATCATTGGTACTTTGTACTTAAATGGCTAGCAAGACTTGTTGAGGTGCATACACTCTGTATACCTTCATTCTCTCTCTCTCTCTCTCACTCAGTCACTTTTTCTCTAGCTTGAATGTATTTGTGGGTGTTTTTTCCTCTGATGTACCTTATGAGCTTAAATATTTCCCTAATCTCCCATATTTAAAATGGTATCCTGATCTAGTAATCGTATGTCAGGTTATATTATTGGAAAGAATCAACTTACACCAGTGTAACCTTGCATTTATTATTAGCCGTTGATTCCACTTATAGTTAATTGCTTTAATTTATTTGTTGTATGAGCTGGATGCAAGTGTAATCAATGACTATGATTGGGTGTAAAACTTGTTATTCTTACGATAGTATAAGTTGATCCTCCCTATATTATATATTTTTGACTGTCCGAGTCAACTGGTGGTGATTACAACCTGTTTATTACTTTTCGTGGCTAACATATAAGATTAGTTGGGGTGCACTCTCTCTAGCTCTGATATACCTATGTTTTTTTCTTCTGGTACCAGGAACCTCGTCACTTCCGGTGCGGCTTTGACATTGTTGTTCCTTGGGATTGGAAGAATTATTATTATCCATTGGATTTTGTTGTTCCAATATGGTTCGATCATCGATTTAAGGGAGATTCAATAAGGATAGTACACTCTTATGTGGATCACTGGATTGGTTTTGCCTTCTGTGTAGCTTTTGAGGTAAAGAATTGTCCTGCAATTTCTGGTTCTCTACATTCATGCTCCTCACCACTGCCACATCCTTTCTTTTGAAAGTGAGTACACGGAGGAACGCTTCAATATGCAACCTAGTCTGAAACTAGACAAGTTTGATGGCTCAAAATATCTTTGGATAATCTATATATCTCGGGAGCACTGCCATTTTTTGAAAACAGGAACGCGTATCACATTTAAAGCCCATCCAGGTTTGATGTTGAAGGAATGGGGGTTACGCATGCTCATCAAGCAAGATGTAGAGGCGTTAGAAAGTATACATACAGAACCACCTGGTCTATTTTATCATACATGCCGTCTTGTTATTGACAATGTAGAAGAACCTAGCAGCAGTTCTGACTCTGAGCCTAAAATCCAGCTTCCCTACAATTGGTTGGTTACTGAGGAAGAGGAAGAGGAAGTCGAGAACATTGAAGCGAAGGAAAAAGAAAATAATCTTTCTAATCTGGGCCTTTAGATAGGCCAGGCCAGCCACAATGAAAACACACAGCATCTTCTTTGAGCCATGAGGTAATTATCTTTGTAAACCAGTGGGCACATTATTAATTAATAATTAATTACCATTGTGAATTAATGATTAATTTCTATAATTAATGATGTATCAATATTTTTTATTATTATTATAGTGCATCCAATTTGATAAACTATGCTTATCCAAAAATTTCTTTTATTAATATGTTGATGTACCTCTCTTAGGGGGTCTTGTCTTCTCGGATTTCAGCTTTTTGCTTATAAAAAAGCTTTTACCTACTCCTTGAGCAAAGAAGTGTACATTATACAGGTGATGGGGTCATTTATACTCATGGAATGGCTTTTTCTGGAGTAATTATAAACACTGCATCCGAATCAATCAAGATCTACGTAGTTGATCCGTAAACGATTCCACTTCTCACATGCAGTATCCTGAGTTTTACCCAAGGAAGAAGCCATTACCTGCACATTTGAAGAAGTGAAATAGGAAATTACATTGCAGATAAGCTAGTTTGCATCCTTCGCAAGGATGAGTAATTATTTTTTCTGTGGGGACTCACTTCCTACCCAGATATGGTTTCTAATATTTGATTTGGATGGATATTCTTGCCTGTTTCCTTTCGTGTTCCTATTAGCTTTGGCAGCTAAGCCCCGCTAATTTGATTTATATGAACTAAAGTTTGGCAAAAAATACTGCCAGTTCATTTTATCCTTAGTGGGAGGTCATCCTATTAGTTTACATAATCAGGTGGTAACCTAAAACTTACTCAAACAAATTATACATAAAGACTGTTTGACAATGGCATATTTGATATGTGCAAAGCAACTAGGACCCTAAGTAAACTCTCATATATGCATATGCCCCTTGCTTGTTTTTGGACAGAGAAAAAGAGTTCTGTACAGTAAGGGACTACTATCATACTAGCTTTATGTTGACCATTTGGATGTATGATCATCCATTTGCATGCTCGCTCTTCTATTTTTTAATCTTGAAAGGATTGTATCATGAGTTTCGAGTTATTGGTTTTTATAATCTCTTCACATAGTCACAGATTCCTTTGTGTAACCATTGGGAATTTTCCTATAGTGAAAAGGTTAAATAAGTATTTCTAGCCTCTTTTCTTGAATACCTCAAAGATTACGAAGTATATATAACACACAACCAATACTTTTGTTTTCTATTTGAATATCAATTTTCATGAAATTAATGTTTTCCTATTTGAATATCAATTTGTATTCCCTGTTTTTTGCATAATGTTTCTTTCTAATGGCTAACCAAAATTGAGTGAGATATAGATATGGGAGTAAATACTCTAACGTGCTTCTTTATTAAAAGGAGAAATATGCCATAAAGGAGTGGATAGAATAAATGCAATTAGGTGAATTATTTTTTTGACTTAGTATTATAAGAGTACTGAAGAAATTTTCTAGATATGGATGCACTTTGATGAGACCAAAACTGGTTTGCTTGGGTGTATGCCGTGCAGAGTTTTATAACGCTTTGAGACTAATATGTATGGCTTAGAGTAAGCGAGCTTTAACACCAGATTCTGTGAAGGTAGCATTATATGGTCCTGCTGTTGGTAAAATCCCTTTGCCACAGATTAATCTTGCTGTTATACCTTCACCGCCAAATTCAGTGCTGCTTTTTCTACTACACGAGTGCAACTTCAGCTCCTTTTTTATCCTTAAGTAGCACCTCACTTAAGCTACTTCAAATGTTTCAGTCTAATTAAATGAGTTTTTGAAGTAACCCTTCCATTGGTATTCAAAAGCTACCAAAAGGTTCAAATATGAAATGGAATATGAACAATATGAGTTTTTGAAGTAGCGAGTCCTGATGTAGAATTGACCATGATATATGGAGATGATCAACATACAGATGAGTTTGAGGTGATTTTGACATGAAGGGGCTGCTTTAACCCAGGTAAGTAGGAAATTTTAAGAGGAGAGAGCAAATATGAAATGGAATATGAACAACAGTGACTTGTCGATTTATTATATATAACTTTTTTGGAGAATGGATGTTTCACAGCAGAAGCAGAACTATTCTAGATGCAGCAACAAGTAGTGGAGTTTTCACAGTATTCATGCTTGTATTTAATCATAATTGTCCTATAATGCTAATCAATCTCAATGGTATATTTAACATGTTAACAAAGTGGATCGTGTTAAAATTAAATACTACAGAGACAAGCTCCCTTAAGCTAAAATCTGGACAAGTTTAAAGACAATCATGGTGTGTCTTCATTACTCTTTTGATTAGAAACTTTGGTATAGCTTGATTCACGTGTCTTCTACTGACCTGTTTTTCCAGACACAAATATATAATCTGTACAGTATTTTTTTTTATAATAAATTATCCGGTATCCGCTAGTGAATGGAATAAATCTTTGGTGCTACTATTGCATCAAGATTCAAGATTCAGTACATCCCACCAATGGAAGCATTACACATCACAGGAGAGAAAAAAAATTTAGCAGAGAAAAGAAAGCTTTAGCTGACATATAATATTTCTATTTGTGGGATATACTAAATTTTTGATGTAACAGTAGCACCAAAGATTTATTCTAGTCAATGGATGCAAACTAATCTGGTTTCGAGCCAGATAAGATCAGTGGAGGCAAAGCTCCTCCTGCCAAATATTTAGTGTTATACAGTGTAATTTGTTTGAATATATATACTGACTGGATATAAAGTTTTGTCCTGTCACTCTCTTGTAACTACATATTTTGTGGAGTATATAGTTATAATATTAATTTTTTTTTCTTTATATTCATAAATTTTTCATAACTTATCAGCTAACGTTTAGAACAACTTTAATATTATAATTATATATTTTTCAAAATACATAATTATAAGGGAGTAATTAGACAAAATTTTATATCCAGTGACCGAACACTAGATGGACTATATATATATATATATATATAGATATATATATATATAGTGAAATGGGACTGAAGATTTGAATCAGTAGTTAAAGACAATTATTTGAAAAGCATAGGTTCCTTGAACATTATTTACTAGTGGAGACAAATTAGAATTTTGTCCCGTAGGTTCAAACGCTTCCTTTGATTTTACCACTATATCCAGATTGCAAATCGTTGTACCTATCCCAGAGCATTACACCTCCATACTTAGGTGACCGAACAAGGGGCAGCAATTGATTTATGAGAGCTTGTGATGGCACAAAACCGCTACCAGCTGCTGCTTTAGAGGCAGGAAGTCCAACAAAAATCTGGCCAGGATATGTGATCCATTGGTTCCATGAATTCTTAAAGCTATTAGGGTTGTTTGTGGTAAACTCACAAACAGGATTGTTATAAAACTGAACCCACACATAATCAAAAAGCCCAGTAGAAAGTGCCCCATTGAGTATATTATTTTTGAATGGACATTGTGGTGCAGCAGTTAAGTAAAACTTTTTTCTAGAACCAGCACCATGATCATGAAGCCTTCTAGCAAGTGCTGCATAGTGAGGTTCACCACCTTCAATGTCAAAATCCACCCCATCCAATATAGCATCCCCAAAGGGTCTGGAGTTTGATTGCCCTCCCAAAAAGTTATTCCAAATGTAGTCTGCAACTTGTCTAGCTTCATCTGCAGATGACAAAGAGTAGGTTTTCTTTGTGTCATCACCACCAATGGAAAGCATAACTTTAATGCCTCTACTTTGGCAGTTCTTGATGCCTATTCCCACTCTTTGGCAACCGTTTGATTCAGGGTAACAATGGCCTGCGAGATTGATTTGAGGTTGGCGACCATTCCCAAATGTTGAGAGGAATGCTATGTTTACTATTTGGAAGAGTCCAGTGTTGCATGTATCTGTCAGTTTTCCTTCCCCTTTATTTTGGCCCCAGTAAACCACAAGTTTTCCTGCATTTGATTTGCAAAACAAGGTGAGTGAAATAAAAAGGAAAAGACATAAAAGGTAAGAGGATTTGTTCCTCATCGTGACTCTCTACTCTTGAAGTCTTCTTAAAATTTATTGCAAGAAGTTCTATATGATAGATACTAATATATAGAGGCTTGAAAATTATTGGTGAAGCGAGATATTTATTGTTTCTCTTATTTCAGGGATAAATTTATTTTCTATACATATATAAAAATATGAAAAATTTATGTTTTTTTTTTCTCTTCTCCTCACATGAATTCATATGAGTCTTACATATTTTGATATATGTATAAGAGATAAATTTATTTTTATAAAAAAGAGAAGGTTATATTAATAAACTTTTTTTTTATAAACTTACAAACTACACTAAGTCTGACTAATTACATACTCTTGATTGAAGTCTGAAGTCTGACTGTTCAGAATTAGTGTAATTTGAAATAAAAAAATTTCTCAATATAACCTCTCCCTATAAAAAACATTAAACCCATTTATTGCTCCCACCAATGGGACATTGACCAAACTGACACCCATTTAATAAAATTTTACTGATATGCCACACTCCAATAGAAATTTTTTAAAATGTCACGTCACAATTCCACTGATCTGACAAGTGAGAATAAATTGGACACGTGGTGACGTCTGCATGATCAACCATTCTAGCTGAGCAGCTCAACGAGAATGACAGAATGCTGATACGTGGCAAAAGTACAGGCATTCTCGCTGGGCAGCCCAGCGAGATTAGTCACCTGAATAACTTTTGCAGAGAATATCTATAATTTTGCTACGCGTTAGCATCCTGTCATTCTTGCTGGTCTGCTCAGCTAGAATGGTTGATCATGCAAATATTGTCACATGTCCAGTTTATTTTCGCTGAGTGACGTAGCGAAAATGTGAAGTGATATTTTGAAAAAAAAATTTCCTAACGTAACAATCCAACAAATTTTTGTCTATGACATTATGGTCATTGTGCCACCAATTTCCTTGTTGGTTCTTTGCTGCTTTTTCTCTTGACTTGTCAGTCAACCGACCCATTGCTTAGGCAACTGGGAAACTTCCTCACAACGACCAAGACCAAGACATTGTGTAAATGCATGTGTTGTCCTAGATCATGTCAGGTACTGATGTACGGAAATAGTAGAAGACTGAGAAACTTTGTTGCTCACGGTGAAGTTTACATAGTTATGAATCTTATGATTGGTGCTTGAGTCCCTTACTAGGCCGATGAATTTAGTTTTTAGCCAAAAATAATTTATTTTTTCAGAAAAAAAAATATTTTTACTGTAAAATCCATTTGAATGTTTATTTTTTTAAAAAGAAGAAATCACATAAAAATTAAAAATTTACTTTTTAAAAGATAAAAATTTTAACTTCTAAAAAAAAAGAAATCAAAAGTTAAATATTTTTTTAATATACAAATATTATTTTAAAAATCTAATTAGTTTTAATTTTTATAAAAAATATTTTAAAATAAGTAAAGTATAAAAAGTACTTTTTTTCAAAAACCAAAAAGGCCCTTAGATTAGATAATGTAACATAAATTTGCCTCCTCTCATGTCCAATCTTTTAGCTTTGTTCGTATTATTCCCACTTACTAAAAAAATTTGGAGAGTTCTTCAATTTTATTTACATATTGATCCCTTATTATTAGGGATGTTCATCAATCGATCCAAACTGATTCAAACCAAGGTAATCGAACCGAAAAAATCAAAAATTAAATAAATCGAAAATCAAAAAATAGAAAACCGAAAAAAGTCACAAATTTTAATTGGATTGGATCGATTTTCGGATTGATTGATGAAAATCGATCCAATATATTAATTTCCCTCTACCTACTTAAGTCTTTCCCAAAATAGCCCAAAAGTTTCTAAACCCAACTCATCAACTAAACTCAAGAAAAAATTTAGTCACATCTGATTAATAAAATTTCATTTGTGTAGAGCTTCATATCTCATTTAAAAAAAAAAAAACTATTATCGTTTAACGATGCTTTTTATTTAAAAAGAAAATTTACAAAATCATTATATACAAAAGATGTTATTTGCACAACATTCATGAGACAAATTTTAGAATTTTCAAAAAATCGAAAACAGATCCAATCCAAACCGACAAAAATTGGATATGATTAGATCGAATTTGAAAAAAAATCCAAACCGAATGGATGATTACATGATCAAACCGAAGGGATTGAATCAGATAATTTTTGTTTCCAAAATCGATCCAATCCAGACCGCAATCACCTTTACTTATCATATTACCCTGCGTATATTAGTGTGAATTTAGATTCTTTCATTCCCTTTTACAAAATTTTCTAGCTCGTGCCATTGGTCATGATCGAGGTTCGTCATTAGATAAGTGTGAGTGCGAGTTAGTAGTTATAATCTATGAAGCACCGACACTTCAAAAATCCTGACGTGTCGTGTCCGACACTTCCTGACACTCCCCGACACTTCAACACGCGTTATAGAAATTCAAAAAAAGGTTCAAAGGTTTCATTGTGTTGAGTTTTTAGTTCCAACTATTAGATTCGTTGGATTACAATTACCATTTTATTGAGTTTAATATAAATATTTGGGATATCTTATGTTTCTTTGCAAAATTGATGCATATTATAAGTTTAGTTTCATTTTTTTGTTAAATTATTGAATATTAAATATAATATACACTACATAAATTAAAATTATTATTTAATATCAAAACGTGTTCTAACTTGTCGAAATCTAACATTTTTTAGAATTAACATGTCGGAGTGTCGTGTCGTATCGTGTCACGTGTCCCGTATCAGTACCGGTGCTACATAGGTTATAATCGAGCTCTGTGCAACGGCAATTGTTTTTAACCCTAATCTTATGGTTTCTCCCTCACAAAACTAAGCTGGCTTTTTAATACAAATTTAGAAAGAATATATTTAACAAATCTTGTAAAGTGGAATATAATTCATATAGAATTATTTTACTTTAACAAATAATGTTGTTTAAAAAAGAAATTTTTTGTGTTTCCTAAGAACTATAATTATATACGAGGGTTCGTCTTTTCTAATGTCAATGTAGATAAGTTATTTATATTGAGCTCAAAACGACGTCATGAAAATCAAAGTATTTTTATAATTATAGTTTGAGTTTGATGTTTGTCATTTTAAATGACATAAGTTGTATTATTTTAAGAAAGAGATAGACAAAAGAAATGGAAATCATTAGAGAGAAAGTGAGTGGTTTTTTTTTTAATTTAAATTTTAAACAAAAAAATTTATCTTGTGTCTACCTCTCTTTTAAAGTTGCATAACTTTATGTCATTTAAAATGACAAACACTTTTTCCTTATAATTTATATTAAGGTTATAATAATCATTCTTATTATAATTTTTAAATTTTTCAATTCAAAATGACGTCGTTTTGAAGGTGAATGTAGATAAATTATCTATAATTATTACATGAATGATTAAAATATTCGTGTTTTTTGTAGTACAATGAAAATATTCGTTTTAAGTGAATATCTATGGTAATTCCCGTCCCACATTCCTCTAGTTGTATAAATGGGAATACATTTTCTCCGTGGGGTGAACCACATTCCTGCATTTGATTTTGGAAACAGTGGTAAGTGAAAAAATCAAAAACACTTAAATGTTGTTGCAGAAGGAAAATATTTTAAGTGCTCCTGATACGGGCCAGCCCAATGCAGATGCAATCACTGAAGAAGAACAAGTGGATCGTGAAGAGGAAGGGAACACAGCCCACATTGAAGGGCAAGCGATTAAGCAAAATGGAAGGTGGGCTAAGATGAATCGTACGAGGCCAAAATGGATGAAAGACTTCACCATGTGATATGGTGAAGTTACCATGGGGTAGGGTGAGGTTGTTAGAAGGGTTCCGGAATTTACGGGAAATACTGCTATTTGTTTAGGCGTGCATGTTGCATTTGTATGCCGTTCGTCATTTACCTTCTGTTATTTGTATTCCTCCAAATACTTCCTCTTACTCTATTTAAAGGAAGAACTGATTGTAATAAAGCAGTGAAGAATTTCTGTAGTTAGTTTTAGTTGTGGAGGTACTCTCCCTCGAAGAGAGTGTGATTTTCTTATCCCCTATCAAGTGGTGCTTTCATTGAGAGCCACCATGACCGGCTCTCCATCCATCTCACAAGAAAAGTTCGAAAATGCCATGGGTATGATGCTGGAAGCCCAGAAACAGATGCAACTGCATATGCAGAATTTAATGCGAAAAGTTGCAGCCATGGAACACAAGGCACCAAGCAGCGAAGGAAGTATTCCAAGTCCTCCGCCTTTCCTCGGTCCGAACACAAGAATGAAGTTAGATGTTCCGCGGTTCAATGGATCTGACCCTTTAGGGTGGATCTTCAAAATCTCGCAGTTCTTTGACTACCATCAAACTTCTGATGACCAACGGCTGCGCATCGCTTCTTTTTACATGGAAGGAGAAGCGTTGGGGTGGTTTCAATGGATGCATGCGAATGGTCAGCTTCCTTCCTGGGTACACTTTCTGCATTCAGTTGAATTGCGTTTTGCTCCGTCCCAGTACGAGGATCCAAAAGGGACAATCTTCAAATTGACGCAGATAACGACGGTCCGTGAATACCAGACCCAATTCGAAGCATTGGCGAATCGGATCGTTGGCCTCCCAGCTCACGCGTTCTTGAGCTGTTTTATTTCGGGGTTAAAACTGGATATTCGCCGAGAGGTGATGGCGCTGCAACCGGCATCTCTCGTTCAGGCTATTGGCCTTGCACGTCTCCAAGAAGATAAGCTGAACGACGTGTCCTCTATACAGAAAGGGAAAGGTGTTGCAACCTCCTCTTCTGGTTACAACACGGTGCCTCCAAAGAGCACAGTCACTCCTGCAACAAAGGCAACAGTACCAACGAATACCAAACCCCAGATCAAAAGAATTTCCCCCGAAGAGGCACAGGCACGGAAAGAAAAGGGACTTTGTTTTTACTGTGATGAGAAGTACCATTTTGGCCACAAGTGTAAGAGACAATTTATGATGTTAATTGTACCGCCTGAGCATGACGTGAGCGAATTGTTTGACCCAGGAGATGACTCAACAGAAGGCCCTAGGGAAGCTGGGCCGT